TTACAGTAGTCTCCAGGAAATTTCTGTTCAAAGCAGTAAAACTCTGACAGAGGAGTAACCTGTGTCTTCAAAGTATCATCATTTCCTTATAAACATTTTCTGTTTGACTTAACTCTCGTTTGGTCATAGATTTTGAAGTTTTAAACTTAAAAGAGTTCTTGCGGTTGTGATTCTTGAAACTTGAAGTTATGTTTGGATTGTGATTCTTGAATTGATGTTATATTTGGATATGTATTTTACTTGAATTTTTTTTTTTTAGTTTTGATATATTCCTAAAAATTCAAAAACTAGTTTGTCGAAACTCGAATTATTATTTTTTAGATAATGATCAAATGCTCTAGATCCGCAATTCTCATGGTCATTCTTTTTAACATCATCTTTTTCTTTATTTTAATGTAATGCTATTAATTGAGGCAATAAAAAAGAAGTATCTAAACGTGAATCATGAAGAGCCTAGCATATAATTGCAAGCAAATGGTGATTTATGGCTACACTTCTTCTGATCTATTAATTCAAACTACTTAACCATGGTTAAAGACAAGGATTTGTATTCAAGCTACATAGGTGCATGTAATTTTTTCCCCCATACTCCGTTAAAAAAGAGAAATTCCGATCATTTCGCCACATTCTCGAATTACACAAATACTTGTTAATATCCTGCAAGGTTTGTACTTGCACAGACTTATAAAGCTGGAACTCTCTCGATTGTTCAATGAATACAACCAATTAATCCCATGACTGACCTACTCTCAGCCCCAATCAAATGAGGAAATTGCAAAACTCCAAGTGCATTATTGAAACTAGGAATTAATTAAAAAATGTATTATGGACCGAGCTAGTGATATATTATGAATTAGTGTTAAAAGAACTTTTAAATGGAATCTCTATTAAAAGAGAAAATTGCAAAACTCCAAGTGCATTATTGAAACTAGGTGTATCACGGACCGAGCTAGTGATATATTATGAATCAGTGTTAAAAGAACTTTTACGATGTAATATATTAAGTTCAATTTTTGAATCGGCTTCTGCTTTCCGAAACTCCAAGTATAAAGACAAAAGAGAAGAAAAGTAACATAAAGTGGGAAGATTAGTGGTCACTCAAAACAATCATGGGATATAGCTAGTGTTTTGGCCATGAAATTTGATCAGATTTTCAAGATTTGAATTTCAAGTAAAATGCATGTCCAGACGCAATTTCATGTTTCAAATATTACAACTTCAAGAACTCAAAATTTTCAAATTTTGACTTCAAAATCTATGACGAAACGCGAAAATAGCATGTACTTGAGGCACTTTATTAGTTAGTTGGATATTGAAGAAATATTGTTGAAGTCCATTTATATTATGGAAGTTGCTGTACATATATTGTTGGTGGTGGGCAAATTGAAAGCTGGAACCTCTAAAAAGGGCATGTGAAAGCACATGGTGAAGGGTATGCTATCACTTTCATTTGTTTTCATTTGCACATGCTGATGTGAGATAATTGAGATAACTTCTTCACTCCAACTTGTTTCCTCTTAAATTATTTAGTACTATACTTGTCACCACTCTGTTTATCACTACATATTTTGCCTAAACTTCTATTAATATGACTGAAATTCAGTCATCTTTTTTATCAAGTCTAACCGATACCGCATATTTAAAGCGAGTGCACTGTGACTTATTTTTTAAAAAATGAATAGATGTATGATAATGTCGAAATAGGATAACTCACACGGGTGATTTAATTGGTGCAACAGGTGTCTGGTGGTATTCCTTAAGGAATATTAAGGATCGATCCCCCATCAATTGTTGAGCTCATTTCATCGGGCTTGTCTAGCGCAAATTACATCTCTGGTGTGAATTGTAAGCTATTTCAAAATATCAAAATTGACTTGAAGTTCGGTGTTGATATATGATAATGAATTCACTAGATGGTAACCATACCCATTTCGATATATAAAAAAATTTCAAAAAATGAAGCACAAAAAATATTTGGTTATTCATTGTTAAGTCCCACATAAGTGGGATGAGGAACAGTTAGACTCCTTATATGAATTTAGCCAATCTCTCTTCGTGAATTAATTTAACGGTTCATCTCAATTAATGAATTAAAGAATTTTTAGAAAATATTTTCTTTTTTTAGATAAATAAATTCTTTAAAATAAGGAAAATAAAATAGAGAAAATAATTGTCAAGAGACATTCTAAGTTTATTGTCTTCTCTCCATCTATCCAACCCCACCCCTTGACCATCGCACTCCTGAACCCTCACTCCCCACCTCGTCCAACCCCCACTTCTTGACCATCTCACACTCGTTATTCCTATTGTATTTTGCTAGATTAACGTATAAATATTTTTGAGATATATTTTCCTACTTATCCAAAATGAAAAAAAAAAACTTATTTTTCAGAGAAAGCACTTTCCTAAGTGTTTTTCCATCTATTAAACCCAAAATGTAAGCAGTTTTGTGTTTTCCATCCTTTTTGTTGTTCTCTTTTTCATTTTGTATCACTACTTGGAGAAACTTTTTAGCTTTCAACTTTTCATTTTCCTTTTTATCCCAAATAAAAGAAGAACAGAGCCATGTGCCTTGGTAAGGTTGAAAAAGACAATTATGAATTAATGACCCTCCCACACACCTTCTTACTGCTTGGAGACTAAGAATTGAATGATCTAGATGAGAAATATGTTTCACATACTATTATAGACAATTTTTTCAATTTATATATTTGCTTATTTCATCTTAATTTGTTTGTCATTTTTCTATAAATTGGTAATTAATTAAACAGTTACCATTAATGACATGACCTGTTGGGGCCACTTCATTCAAAAGTGTAACGTCTTTTAAGAGCAGAGAAAAATATAAATAAGACATGTGATCTCTTTTTATCTTCTTAAATTTAAATTGTTGATACTGAGGACTATTTTGGTACTTAATGTATACTTTTTAGATTATGCTATGTATGGCTTTTGAACTGAACTATGAGAAAAAAATTGACTTGAAACGAACAAAAAGGGCAAAAAACTTCTTACACTATGCGAAATTGAAATAAAATGCTCCGGTTAATAGTTTGGTCCAAAAATATTGATGCAGTTAATAGATTTTGGACCAAACTATCGATGCTGTGTATAGATTTATTCAATTTTGCATAGGGGATACTGTTGGAGTGTGACAACAGCAAGTGCTAGGCTAAAGAGATTAACCACTTGAGAAGATCCCTCTCTATAAATAGAAGTCGATTCTCTCAAAGCTCTACACACTTCACTTCCTCTCTTAGCTTCACACAAAATTACTACAATGGCTGGGAAAATGAGCATTGTCTTGTTTGTTCTTTTGGTGGTTTTCCTGACTCAAAATCAGGTGAGCCCAAATGTTTTGCGCATCTCTATTGTTTTCGACTCGAATTATATATATATATATATATATATACACGTATTGTTGAAAATATATTAAATGATGTGTGTGGTTGTGTGTTCAGGTTTCAAGGGCCAACATTATGCGTGATGAGCAGCAGCAACAACAGAGAAATAACCAACTGGTATGATCCATCTTGCGATTTTATGTACTTTCTTAGGTGATCAATTTTAATTTCCATGACTAAACTATATTTTATATGTGGTGTTTGCAGTATGGTGTTAGTGAGGGAAGACTCCATCCTCAAGGTATAAAAACTCACTAACTAATTTTAAGTTCAACTTCTCATAGGAATAATGCTGAGATTACCGTACAAATTTTTAATAAAGGTAGGTAGCTCCGTCCTGATGAAGTGTGTTGTTGTAATTTTTCAGATTGTCAACCAAAATGCACGTACCGGTGTTCAAAGACATCGTATAAGAAGCCGTGTATGTTTTTCTGCCAGAAATGCTGTGCAAAGTGTTTGTGTGTTCCTGCTGGTACCTATGGCAATAAGCAAAGTTGCCCTTGCTACAATAACTGGAAGACCAAAAGAGGTGGCCCAAAGTGCCCATGATCATCCATATTGTATTAAAATGTGACTGCAGACACCCAACTTCTGTCAAATCTAGTAGTATTAATTAATTAATCAACACTTGTTGTCTCAAGTGGTGTATTAGCTAGTAATGTTAGGTCCCAATTATATAGAAGAAGATTGGGCTAGCTACAAGTACAATAGCATGGTTATGATTATGCAGCTTTTTTTGTGAGACTTATTTTATATTATTATTATGATTATATCTTAAGTGATATTTATTGGTGTACCATAAGAATTATAGAATGTTCAAGTCATCTAATCCAAGGCCAACTTGGCGTTTGAATGGGCTATTATACTAAAGCAATCTCTCTCTCTCTCTCAAGACTATTTTAGTAGCTTTTACAGCAACTAACTGATTTTTCGACTCTTGAGTATCTTAATAACCGCCGCCGGCCACCCTCCCGATATCTCCGGTTAAAGTACATCACTTTGAGTATATTAATTCTCTCTGTTCAGAGTTGAAACTCCTAAATTCTCAAATGTATCGTTCAGTTTCTTCCAAGTCATTCTCTTTCTATCGGGAAAATGGTTGTACATGTTTTATTTCCTTTGTCGTAACACTGTATCTTCTATTCTAGAAGCTCAACGGAAGAATCATGAACTGAGTTTTCGATTTTTCATCTGGGCTTTTAAAACGAAAGCGATTTTGCAGCTGATTTTGCTTGTAAAAGATGGTGGATTCGATTTATACTGGACTGTTCTATATGAACTTAAAGGTTTCTGGGAGCAGATAAGGCTGTTGAGACTTTTGGTAAAGATCAATGAAGCACAGCTACTTCTGAAGTGTATGAAAAATCACTAGAGAATTATGTTGTTCCCCTGAACACAACTATGATTGGGGGTTTTAAGGGTGAATGATAAGATTCTGCAGAATTATTTTCTCCCAAAAGGTGTCAGCTTTGAGGTATGGCTTTCAAATGTAAAATTCCATGCCTTCAGAAGAATACAATCTCTCACTCTTAATCAGATGTTTTTGGAATCAAATATTGAGAATAGAGAAACGGTAGCTGTTCCCTTTCTATTGGGCCTTCGTGCATTGAAAATCTTGATTAATTGGTTGTCGAACACATTATACAAAAATAAAATCGACTTGTATCATGCTACACAAAATCACTTATGAGCTTTTTTGGAGCGGGCACAAAGCATTGCATTACAAGCACATTTTCTCATTATCTCTATCCTTTCCGAGTCAATCTCTATATACAATTCAATCAGGAAGGTGTCAGGTTCTTGTTAACAGAAGGTACAGGAGCAAGAGTGGGAGAATGGGATCATAATCCAGCTCTTGTATCTTCACGTTTTCTATTTCTTTTCTTCTCTTCAAACAACAAATGTTCTCGCTCAGATGTCCCTGTGAAGGATTTTCGCAAGATGAGATCTCAAACCAAGCTGTAAATGCTATTTAGTTACATGATCCATCAGCAATCTGTAAGCCGAGCTACCCCATCCCATAGTTAGTTATGTGTCAAACGATCAAAATCTCTACCATTCAGTAACCAAGACGATCATTCAGTGAGGTGCGTCCGTCACCTGATTGCCCTGGTAAAAGTTTCACAAAGACCAGCAAAATTGTCAAAAAAAAACTTGAACATCCATTAGTAAGCAACTAAGCGTAGGCATGAACCAAATAAGTGGCATACCTTCAGGAGGAACCCAAGAATTGTAATCCTTCTCACTCTTCAGAAATGATGGTCTGTCTGGACCAAGAACCTTCTTTTGCTTTTTTTTCTTTTCCTTCCTCGTTTGACTTTCATGTGATACATCACCTCCGCTGGATTCCACTTCATCATCAGTACTATGGTATCTTTGAGAATGTTTCAACAGCAGAGCTACCGCATCTTCTGCTTGTAAATCAGCTCCAGTGGATTCTTGAGAATGTTTGACTTCAGTAACATCAGACTTCTCAACTTGCTTGCGCTTCCTTATTATTAGTCCAGGAGCTGCACTTTCAATTCCAGAGTCAGCAGTCAACTGTGTAGCATCTGGTTTTACCAAAACTTTATTCCTGTCTTTGTAGTCAACAAATTGATCATTGTCTTGCAGTTCTGTCTGTCGTTCAATAACTTTCTCTTGTTTTTTCTTTTCATCTACAGCACCAAGCCATTGGGGCTTACTAGCAATGTACACAACATTTTTACCACCAGCTGCATCAGCCACAATCTCCTTCTTTGTTTCTTGACTGAATGAAGAGTTCGCATCAATAGTATCCTGTTTCTCCATTAAAACCTTAGGTTCTGCTCTATCTTTTTTGTTCTGCTCGGGTGGAGGCTGCTGACGGGCAGCAGTTGCAACAGTTTTGGTCATATTGGTCTTTGGTTCTTGTACTTTCAGCTCCCTCTTTTTAGCAGCCTCACCAGTAGGATCAGCAATCTTAAGCAAGTAAAGTACCCTGTCCAACTCCGTCTGGAGAGTAGCGAGTTCCTTGTGAAGCTTTTCCTCCTTCTCCAGAGCTGGCACAGAACCAAAAAGTAAAAGGTCAACAAAAGACGCATACTAAATTCTATCAAAATTCTATCTCAATAAAGGAGTTTGAATATAATTCATGGGTGGGATACCCATTCTTCCACTATCAGAAATGATCCCTTGCTTAATATTGAATGCTCATACACATAAATATGCAAGTGTTACTGGAGTGGAAGGATTTAGCTACACCGTTCAGCAGATATGCATGTTGTTAACTGAACAAAACTACCCAATGCATTTCTCTTAGATAAATGCACAATCATTCTTCTTATAAACTGACAGCTTTTTTTTTTTATGAAGGAGAATTCGTTAGAAGGCATCAAGAAGATGCAAGGCAAAATATTTACAGCATAAAAGGGGTCTGCTCCTGTACAAGAATTTACTAGATGACTAAAGAGCAGACAAAGTCCAAAAAAAGATCAACTGTGGTTACAGGGGCCTGGTTGAACCAACTATATAAGCAGACTAAACAGTTGGATTTAAGAATGTGGTTAGGAATTGAAACCCCATCGAAACATCTACAATTTCTTTCATTCCAGATGCACCAAAAAATAGCTGCAGGCACCATATTTGTATGTATTAAAAAAAATAAAAAAAACTTAAAAATATCATCAACTTGAAGATGCATATTCAAGTTGATGATATTGAATGCTGCCTATGTGATGGGAAAGTTATGGAAACAAATGAACACCTGTTTGAAAAATGCACATGGATGAAAAGTGTATGGCAGGAGATTAGTGAATGGACAGGTATTGCCTTGCAAAAAGAGGGGATCAATCAAGTACTAGGCAACATCAAAAAGAAACATTGGAAGCAATTTAAGGAGGAGGTAATTGCAGCCATTTGTGGAGCTGTTTTACACCACTTGGCAAATAAGAAATTGGAGAAGGTTCAAAGGGAAGCATGTACATACGAAAGAGGTAGCAACACAGTTAAAGAAGGAGATAATAGAAAGGTTAAATTTAGTTAGTCATTCCAAGAAAGCACAGAAATGTAGTTCTTTCATTCAGCATTTACTTTGTAACTAGTTTGTTTTGGTTGGAGGCCTAGTTCCTGATCTTGGAAATAGGTGCTCTTTAGTTTGTACTTGTTCCTTGATGGCATGGTAATATTTTACATTTGTTACCAAAAAAAAAAAATAATACCAATCATTAGGGATTGGTCCCATTATGAACAGAAGAGACAAAGTGAGAGACCAGTGCATGATAAGATGCCACCAGATACTCCACAAGCTTTGTCAAATTTAACTGAAATCTCAAATATATAATATCATAAAAAGAAACCCAAATGTTACCTCCAACGAGATAAGAAATTAGCATTCAGACAATTTTGGAGTTTATTTGCTAAAATAATCACGCACCTAGCTGAGATGAAAGGCCAGACATGTAAGCATCTAGTTCATCTCCAGCTTCAACTGCACTTTCCTGACCTGTACCATCCTTTTCATCAAGAAATAATTTTCTCTTGTCTTCCATTTCCCTGACAATGGCATCCTTCTTATCAAGAAGAGAATCAGCTGTCTCAATTGATTGATTTTCGCCAACTTTTCTCTTTGAAGGCTTCTGTGTGCGATCATAGAATTCATCCTCCTCACTGTGCGGTAAGAAATTCAAGTCACCTTGTCAATGCGCTAGCTCAACTCACTAATGACAATCACAAGTATATTGCCAACCTTATATAGATCATTTCAAGCAAACATACGGCGTACACAATGAAATTTGTTGAAATTATTGAAGATCTACAAATTATGTACTAACCACATGTTGTCACTGGACTAGCTCCACTCACTAAATAAAAATCACGACAATTTCAAGTGTGCGTTTGGCCAAAGAATTGTATTTTCAGGAATGTGAAAGAACACCAAAACAATACTTCCACTCTAAAATACTCACAAAAATTCAGAAACAACTTCAATTGGTACTCATGGCCAAACACAACTTTTTTTCAAATACTCGCAATTTTCATGGCCAAACGCCAATCTAACATTCCTAAGATCATTTCAAGAATTATGTACTGCATAAAGCATCAACCAAACAATGAAGTTAGTTGAGATCATTGAAGATCTGCAAATTACATACTAACCTTGAAAACTCCTCTTCTTCAGGCTCCTTTTTCTTTCCATTGGATGTCCTTCCAGTGCGTGCACCAAGACTTTCCCGTATACTCTCATTTAAAGTCTCTTCCAAGTTTTCAAGCTCTTCCACTATCTGATAAATTTTCAACACATGAATTAAAGGAAGTGGCCAAGCTACCCTAGGATATTGCTAAAACACTCAGTATACTGGAGTATTATTAGACCTTATAAGAAAGGAGTTAAATGAACATGTGATATTCAACACCAAATAGAACAAAAGAATATCTTCTTTGAGTATTAAGGAATCAAAGAGAAAATGATGAAGGAGCTATTAACCTGTGATATCCTCTGTTCATTACGAGCAATTTGAGTTTGTTGTCCCTGTGTCAATCCACCTTGAGAAATATCCTTGGCCCGAATAGCATCTATCTCTTTTTTCATATGAGCAATCTGAAATCAAAAGGGGTACAATAAGATTCGCATACATTTGCAAAGGGGTACTTTTCCTCAAGAGATCCTTCAGGTTAACAGTAACATAGAGAAATTAAGTAAACGGGTACCTTTTCAAGTCTTTTCACAACTTTTTCACGTGTTTTTTCCTGCTTCTCTGTAAGCTGTCCCTTGTAAGTTTGCCAAGTTATTTCGTCAACTTCATCCTAGCATCAAAATCAATTCGGATAGCACTCTATCAGGATTTCATCACATGCTACAAGAATTTAAAATATTGAATGAATAATAGCAGGAAAGAATGACTGCAGTGTGCAAGGGATCAGTGCTCAGAAAAAAAGTTTAACTCGTCTATAGCAGGTGAAAGCAACCAAAGCATACAGTTACATGCACAACCCGTGACTCTTTAATTCCTTGGACAGTATCACTTATTATGGAGTCCACAACATTGTCAAAGGTGTTGCTGAATATTTTAAATACATAAACAATTTCTTTCAAAAAAAAAATAACGGTGGGTTGGGGATTGGGCTCTGCACCTCTGCAGAGATTTAAGTTGTCTAACAACCTACAGAGAGGAACATTCGGAAAACAAAAAGAGAAAAATTAACACTAAAAACCTTGCCAGTGAGAAATTAGTTGATATGTGTAGGGGAACATCCTAGAGTAACTGTAATAACTGTTATCCAAAAAGAATTGTAACATATACCAAATACCCTAGAGGAAAATGAGACACATAAACTGACCTCGTTCTCCTCAATAGCATCATCACGCATTCCCCATGAGATCCCATCTGCACGAGATGCTTCCAGTTTTGCACGGAGAAGTGATGATTCCATGTCATGCATCTCTTCCCGGATCTTCGCTTGTCTTACCCTCTTCAGGTCAGCTTCCTACAACATAAAAACAAAGTAATGCATTTGAAAATAGTTAACTCTAATAAAAGTGTTCTGTTTGGTAAAATTTTGCCGTTCAATTTGTTGAATATGTGTCATCTGTTCTGGTAATCAGTTCCAAAAGGGATTTGATGAAAAATGCTATATTGCATTGGCAAGACAAGCAAGAATAACTGTATAAAATGTTCTAAGAAATAAAAGGAACTCTGCTTTTTTAACTTATAAATAAGAACAATTATGAATTATCCGACCAAGGGCATTAAATAGCTTGTACCCCTAGAACATCTGGTGTGACATAGATAAGGAATAAATAGGAGTTAATATCATTCCAATTGTCATTACAAAAATAATTAGTATCTTTGGAATTGCAATAGCACAACTGTCATACCGGTGGCATCAAGTCAGTTGGTCCTTGAAATATGTATAATCGTGATGATCTGTAGAAAGGGAAGAACATTAGAAAAATGCCAAAACATTATAACACCACTAGTAAGAGAACTTGTTTATTCCTTCCGAGCATGATCATTTTTAATCCAGTGTAGTTTTGTATCATTGCGCCTGCAACATAACCTTTGTACTTCTAGGACACTCTTCTTGTGAAAATGTTGCATCTTAAAGGCCCAACATTCATCGTATTATTACTTTGTTGGTCTTAAAATCTTCTCATCCAACTTGCCTTCTCATTTTGAATGATGAAATTTGTATCTAAAAAAAGATAAATGAAAGAGCTCACTGTGGAACTACTGGATCATAATATCAGAATGAGGCAACCATCCATAATGAATATAGTCTATCCTAGAATCTCAAATATACATGATTTTAACTATCATCCTATCAGATAGATAACATAACAACATAGAGTGCCAGTTTTCTTCAACAAGCTGGAGTTAATAACTTACTGTCCAAATCGAAGGACATCACCAACATGGAGATCCACAAAAACTCTCTTTGTCACCTAATAGTTTGCAAATGGGCAAGCCATTAGTATATATGCTCTTTACTAATTTGAAAAATGAAACCACACCATAACAAATGACAAGGATGGAACTAATGATCTTGACAGTAACAATTATGGGCAGAGGATAGAGCAGACAACTATAAAAAGGAATGATGCATAAGCTGAAGGCAAGATACATAAGCTGAAGGCATGCAATTGATTATTTGAACCTCCTCATCTGTTTTATATTCTGAGTTAACTAGAGTAACTGATAGGTATAATAATACGTTAAAATACCTCTTTTTTATTAACAAATGTCCCGTGTGTACTACCAAGGTCATAAACATAAGCATTGCCGTTTCCCTTGAACTGTAAAACTGCAAAGAGATGGTGGTTACATAATCAACGCCAATCAAAAATCTTTTTTAAAAAACTGAACAAATATTTGCATATGAATTGTGTTAATTACACCAAGAATATCCATAGAGCACAACAGCACAACGATATAAGGAAATAAAAGGCTGGTAGAGCAAAGTTAGTCCCATATATACCACTTGTAGAAGTAAAGAAGCATTACCAGCGTGAAAGCGAGAGATGGTCGGGTGTTCAAGAACAAAATCACAAAGATCAACACGCCCAAACATGTACGCCCCCTTCTTGTGCCTGGACAGCAGTAAAAGGTGATAAGAATTCCATTAAACAAAGTAAAATCCCAGCAACTGATACAAAAAATGAAGCCTTGCAGAGTCCCAGAAACAATGCAAATGGGCCGTCCTCCCCATTCGGGAGACATGAACAGTAAGAGAGATATAGAAACCCGTACAGAATGTTTAACTAGAAAAATTAAACTTGTGCAAGTTCAATTGTAGGAGCTACAAAATAAGATAGCACTTGATAAGAAACCTCAGTAACCCTTACACGTAGCTTCTAGTAATATGATAGACAATTTCAAACCAATAAACTAAACATTAGGCAATTGTACCAAAAATATAGATACTACTCAAAAAAAAAAAAACTTAATGTGATAATCAAGGACAGTAGTTATTTTGTTTTAGTCAATATATTCATAGAATTAGAAGGACACAATAAAATTTCTTCCTTATCGATTCGTTTGATTGTGTTACCGAAAGTGGTACTTAAAACCCAGCACAACAGAAGAATAAGCTTATGAGGAACCAAACATAAGTTTGCAGACACATACACATCAAATTTATCAATGATCGATCCATCTTTAAGCACTTCAAGATAAAACCGATGACACGGACGCCCACTCCAGGTCGGAATCGTGTACGGAACCGAAGCAGCTGATCGTTGTTCTTGCTTTTTGTCTTCATTGGTGTCGTTACTTCGGGACACAGAGCTGGAGTCATCTTGAGAATTGGCACTTTGTTCATGTTCAGCACCAATTTTATCCGAGTTCGACTTGCTAAGGAATTTTGGAGGTGGAGGTTTCATTAAACTCAAGTTGGAGTCTTTTTGGGCATTGACACTAGTAGGTTCTGAATCACTAGTAGGTTCTGAATCACTTTGAGAAATAAAAGGTTGTGATTGGGACTTCTGTTGATCGAATTGTTTGGATGAATCCGAATCTGAATCCGAATTGCTTAGAAGTGGGGGTTTCATTGAAGTTTGAGTAGAGTTTGAGGTCGAAACTTCATCTAAGTTTGAAGCATGAGGTTCCTGGGTTACAACCGCGGCGGTTTTAGGGTTCCGGGGCGGCGGCGGGTTCATGTCAGTCGTCATTCTAAGACGGGAAGATGAACTTAGTGGCAAGGAGGAAGGTGGAGGAGAATGGAAGACGGAAGGAACAGCAAGAAGAGGTGGAGAAATTGGACCCAAATCTTGAAGCCCTCCGGATACGGGTCTAAAGCATCCCAAAAAGGATTTATACCTATTTTTTCGTGGCACTCCCTTGAGAAGAAGGGCTTCTTTTTTTAAAAAAAATAAAAAATAAAAAATTTACTACTAATTATATTTTGCAAGAAAATAGTCTATGAATTTTTGCATGCATCTCATTTGTAAAAGTAAATTCTAGTAAACAGGCCTGAAATATTTTGCATTAATGATAATTTGACTAATAATTATTTGTATTTCAAATATTAACTATCTTATCTAATTTTTATAAGGAAATTAATTTTTATAAGAAATTTTAGAATAATTAAGATCTCAGTTTTCGATCTACTCTTTTTTTCGTTTCACAAATATTTTATGACTCATGCATAGAGGATATTTTATTACTCCTTTATTTATTTTTTATATTTAATCTCACCGTTCATCACCATTCACCACTCATATACTAGTTCTCAATTATTATAATTAAATATTCCATTATGAATCGTTATGTACGATCATCATTGTCATTTATTATTACTCGTGATTACACAAAACTCACTAACACAGTTTATTTATAATCAACATTTATGATAATTGTTGGTTATTTTGACAAAATACATAAGGAAAAATTCTTTCAGCGAGAAAAGTTTGGTCATAATAATAAAGGCACATGTTCACATTATGAACTAGTTTTTTTTTTCTGGACATTTTTACCCATTAACTCAAATAATGAATATATTCTTCAATTATGTTTCCAATGCATTGAAAATGATTGATGAGATTAATTGTTTATGATTCCATAGTTAAACATTAAAAATGAACCACAAAATATATCTACCAAAAAGATCATAAGTATCACCCACCCTTCTCTCTTGAAATTTCAATATCTAAAAAATTGTTTTTACAAAAAAAAAAAAAAATGGGAAAAGGCTCATTTATGCTATCGAACTTTCAGAAAAGACTCATTTATGTCATTCGATAAAAGTTTGGCTCATTTATACCATTACCGTTTAGAAAAAAACTCATTCATGCCATTATTTTTTAACAGTGATTTTGTAAAACCACTTTTTACACGTGACAAGTTTTGATTCGGCCACATAATTTTTTTTTAATATTATTATTTAATAAAAAAACCACCCAATATTTTTTTTTAAATCCTATTTTTAAAGAACCCCTTTAACTTATATTAGTGACCCATTTCTTTCCTTTAATTTTTCAATCTGAAAACTCTAACAAAAAAGGGAGATTTCTTCACTTAAGGACAACAGTCTCTTCTCCTTATCCGACAAAATTATGGTTCTTCCTTCACAACTCATTTATGAAGTAGTAATATGTCAACTAACCTCTTTAATCTTCAAAAACGAGATTGCAGTCCTTAGTTAGGATATTTAGGATAAAAGTGAATGAAAAATTGGGTTATCAATGGGTTATAAGGGATTTTTTTTAAAAAAAATTGGGTGGGTCTTTACTTGGGTGAGTCTTTATTTGGATGGGTTTTTTATTTAATATTTTTTTAGAATTTTGATTTATGATTTTTATTTTTAAAATGATGTGGCTGAATCAGAACTTGCCAAGTGTAAAAAATGGTTTTACAAAATTACTGTTAAAAAATAATGGTATGAATAAGTCTTTTTCTAAACGATAATTGCATAGATACGCCAAACTTTTAATGGATGATATAAATGAACCTTTTTTAAAAGTTCGATGGCATAAATGAGTATTTTCCCTTAAAAATGTAAGCGTAGTAAAAAACTATATAACCAAAAAATATTTTAAAAAAAACTATACTATCTCTTTTTTAGTTTCAAAAAATCCTCCTTTTTACTTTTTTTTACAAAAATTTATTTATTTTCTATTTTTTATGTCTTAATGATAAAAAGGGAAAAATTTAAAAGTATAAAAAGAGGAATAAAGTGTAGATGATCTATTTTACTTTATATTTTCTAATATAAAAAAGATAAATTATATCTAAATTTTAATATTAAAAATTTATATTTATAATACTCAACATTAATAATCTGAAATTAATCGAGTTGGCAAAATAATTACTCCTATTTATTTGAAGGAGTTGTTTTTACAAATTAAATTTTTAGAAAGAAGTTAAATAATAAAAGTAGAGTATATTTTATTAGATCGTACTAAGAATGTATGTGAGCGAAATATGAAGAAACTGAAACTACAATAATGTTTCTCGTATTATGTAATTGTCTTCATATCTCAACCTCAGATGAATCATATCATAATAAAGATTCATCAATATTAGTACTTTTTTTATTTGAGTAGTAGAGATGCATACAAATATTACTTGGATAAAAATGTTGATGGAGCTTCATTCAAAAATTATAATAACATCGAACGGATATAGAAAAATCTTTATAATTTCAATATAATCTTTTACAAAAATAAATTGAAAGAAAAACATCTTTATAGTTTTCCGATGGCAACGACATTACTAATATTTAAATAGGCTTTAATTAAATAATCTGATTAATTATTGTGTAAACAAATTTAAAGTATATATTATTATTTTTAATATAATATGAAAAAATATTATAATAAAAACAGTCAAAACTCAAGATGCTTTTAAAATATTATACAAAACATAAAATTCATATAACTTTGAAGTATCAATCCTAATTAATTACATTAAACATTTGTATATTATATATATTCAATCAAAGATAGACCCTCTATATTTTGAAATCAAATATTTACGTCCTCTATATTACAAAAATCATACAAATTTTATCCACCAATAATCTTATTTCTAATTTTCTAAAAATATATATAAATATTGTATAATATGAATGTTCTGCATAAATGAAATTATATCTAACTAATTATATATACATAATTCTAAAGCAAGAAAATAACTAAAAAGAAATTACACATAATAAATATTGCATTTAAATAAAATTATAAATAAAGTACGTATTTATATTAAAATAAGTTATTACTAACCATTATATATCTTATTAAATAATTTGTATCACTTAACATTTTTAAAAAATATATTAATTTTTTTAAAAATTAAATGCATGAATAAAAAATTTCTTTTCGATTTAAAATTTTGTGAGAATAACTTCACAAAAACTGTTTTTTTTTTATAATTTTATTTTATCTTTTAATAATTTACTTTAACATATGAATAGTATATTTAAAATAATAATATATAATAATATTAAAGAATAATAAAATAAATAATAAAATATTAATAAAATATAAATAATAATAATAATAATAACATATAATAATATATAATAATAATAATAATAAATAATAAAATATTAATTATTATAATAATAATGTATAATAATAATAACAATAAAGAATAATAAAATAATAATAATAATAATTATAATAAATTATAAAATATTATTAATAATAATAATTATAAAATAAAAATAAAAACAAAAGAATTTGGATAAAAAAGTAATATACGGTCAACATATGACTTTTAAGTTGAAAAAAAAAGTACCCTTTATTTAGCTTTTAACTTTTGGCTTAAAATAAATTATTTTTGACTTAAAATATGTTACTTTGATATTTACTAAATACTGTGATAAATCAAATACTGTCTTTTAAGTCAGTTTAATCAGCTTTTAAGTTCATCCAGACATGCTTTAAAAGGTGTTTTGTTTGATGGACTGAGACTATATTATTCCGTTACAATTCAAATCTTTCATGAAAATTCTATCTATAACAATTTAAAAAATATTCATAATTTAAATTGTTAAATTGATCAATTTATAATCTTAAACTTCAAAATAATTAAAATTGAAGTATTAGATAATGGCCAATTTGTTGCAATATCCGATAAAGATACAAAATGTGCAGAGTAAATTTTTTGGAATACACATTTCCACGACAAATTGATAATCCAAACATCATATTTATTGTTTAATTCGCTTAACTTGTCTAGTTAAAGGTTGCATTTGAAAAAATTAATAATTTTAACAAATAATAGTTCAAGTGGAAAGGAGTTATAAAGTGAAATGAATAATCCAGTTGAATTTAGAGGTTGAAATGCAAAAGAATTTAGATTTATCCGATATTTTATTAAACGGGTGATAGAAAATAAATTATTTTTTTGAGTGAACACACATACAGATTTTGAAATTATCATTATTGTTTAAATGGTGTATTTTCAATGGCTAAAATTGTTTTGTGACGTAAGAGGACTAACTCAAATTTTAGATGTGTACTTTAAAAACTATTTAAGTTTAATTAGATAATTATGTATTTCTTGAGTTATTAATTTCCATCACCAATTATTATCATCAAATGTTGTTGTTAATCACTATTATTAATCATCAATATTTATTATCATTGACAATCGTCACCTAAAAAATATATCAATTTTTTAATTAGTTATAATCATAAATCATCTTATAATCCCCTTCTTCCCAATATTTTTGTTAACGTGAGTATTAATTTAGTTGATATTTTATTCAATTTTTATATTTATTTGAGTAACTTCTAATTAAATAAGTTTTATTTCATAAAATATTAAAAGAAATAAGTATATTTATTTTCTAGATATTAAGTATCATAACAAGTATTTTTTTATACATCTTGATATTCAAATATATATTCAACATTTTAGTAGAATAAAGTAACATATATTATATTTTAGAATCGTCATTTTAATCATAAATAAATTTTATTAAATAATATGCAAGTCTATCAACTTCACAATAACTTCAGTCATATATTAAAACTTAATTATCTTTATCTAAATTTCATGCTTGCTTGTACTATTGAGTTCAACTAATGAATTCAATTATTTTTTGTTCCAAGTTCGAAACTTCATTCATAAATGTAAGTTGTGTCTAATTTTGTCTTTATTTTATAGTAATTATTCGTAAAATAATATGTACGTATCCTTTGTAAATCATAATTATATTTTTACAAGTGAAATAATTTAATCCTACAAAATATATAATTTCAACAGACAAGTATTAAAAAAATTTATAAATCTATATTAAACTTTAAATAAATCAATTATTTTAATTTTTGAACTACGATAAAGTACAAAAAAAAAT